TTTTCTGATGGTCAGGAGCTAATGTTGGAATGAACAGACATCCTAGTACTTGGCAACCATGTGTTCTAGACCACACACCCTTCACAGAGGCCCTGTTGGGCACAGCTCTGCACAGTGGCCTCACCTTCTCCTTTCCCTTGTTTCTCTTCCCAACCCTGCCTGGTTTTGCCTCTCTATATTTTTTTTAATCTGACTGTATCTGTTTCTCATGTGTCCCTCCCCACAACCTCACCCCATCTGAGACATTTGACAAGGTCTGGCCATTCATCCTAGTCTGTGTTTGAGGGGGCACACAACATCGACCTTGAAAGTGATAGGTGGAGCCAGTGCTTCCACAAGCCTAAAGGTTGTGGGCCAAGCGGAGATGTGGACTTAGTCACAGAGAATAGGATTCTGTGGGAGCTGTCACTGTCCATCCCTCTACTAGAGGCATGACTTACTCTACCTGAGCCTGGATTCTTCTGACAGCGGAAGTCCTTGGACCTGGCTTCAGGAAGGAAGATGTGGGCTTATCTCTTGGACTAGTCACCCAGATAGTTTTCTAGACAGGAGTAAATATTTGCCCTCTAGAGAAAGAAAATTCTCAGAAGCTGGGTGTGGTGACACATGCCTATAATTTCAGCACTTGGGACGCGGAGACAGGAAGGCCAGCAGTTAGATACTGTCCAGCCCACAGAGGCCCTGTCTTAACAACCCATTAAAAAGGAATCCTATAGAGGAGCCTAAGGAGGGTTCTGACCTCTTTGAAAGAATCCACTCCCATTCCTTTCATCAAGAACCTGTATGTGTCCACCAGCATTTCTGGCTCACACAGCTGCCCTGGGAGCCCAGATGTCTAGCAGGTGCCCCTTCTCCATATCATCCTCTTTCCAGAAGAGAGAAGCTTGGTTTCTAGAAACTCTGAGACAGGTTTAAAGGAACTTTATCTCTTGGTGCCAGTCTCTGGTCTGTTTGTGGGCCTCCAGCAGCCCAGTGGTATGCCCTGAAGAGTCAGTCAGGTGATTGGTGACTGACAGCTACACTTGCCTGACCCTCACACGAGGCCCAGGTGAAGACAATGTTCTCGTGTGTCTGAGTCTGGGGGACACTTCAGGCAGTGAGAGCTAGCACATGATTATCCCGAGGCCCATCTGCCCTGTGCTTATTCTCAGAGCTGCCTATGTTGAGTGGGCATTTGGAAGACACTGAGGCCCTGCAGGTTCTAGTAGGTGATATGATCCAGGAACATGACCCTCTTTCAAGGACAGGTGTGCGTCACCATCTCTAATTCTGCTGTGTGCTGACCTCAGGACAAGTTGCCTGCTGACTTAGGGAACTAGGACTCTGGGTTTGTTTGAAAACATCCCCCACTCGCTGCTGCCACCAAGCGGCAATTATAGGGAATGTTTGTAGACTTGTGACCTGAACCAGCCCGGGGCCTCTTACCTCCTGAATTGGGATGATGGAACAAGGCAGGGTTGTGGAGAACTGTGAGCCCCTCATTTTGGGTGTGAATAAATGGGTGTTTGTAGGATGTGGACTATTAATGAATGTAGCCAGCAGGGCAAGTTAATCCCGAACACAACATAGATGCTTTCCACCTTATTTATGGGCCATGTTCCCATTGTGGCATGGGCCCCACCATCACCTCACTGGTCCCCAGTGGCTAGGAGAGCACCCATCAGAGACTGGAGCATAAGATGGTGATATTTTAAGGGCAGCCAGCAGGTGCCCCTGGGTCAGAAACTGCAGAGATGTGCAGAATGCTAAACTGGAGTTTCATCATGCATCTGGGGTCCATACTGGCCCGGACAGGGCCAGACATCGGTGTCTAGCAACTAGAGTTTAAAGAGATGTAACGCTGGACCTGAGAGGAATGGCTTCAGAGGCCAAAGCAAGGAGGGTCTGGTAGAGGAACCGAAGTGAATGAGAATGTCACTCTCAGGTTCCCAGACTCCGTCACAACAGGGGTAGGTATTGTATGCCTCTGACTTGGCTGTATTGGGGAGGGGGCTCCATTTCTGGCCAGTGGCCTGGCACAGGTTTTATATGATGTAATTAAAGCCCTTGACTCTTCTATTTAACGAAGCAGCTCAGATTAAAGGGCATTTCTATGTAGGCAAGACAGATTTGACTTAAATCACCAGGCAGAGGCCAGAATTACCCCACAAACATTCATTTTCTTCTTTGATCCAGGGCCTCTGCAGCCACCCCTGGGCTAGTGCTTAAAATCCTCTATGTTCTGGGGTTTGGTGTATGCTGACAGTCTGCTGCAGTGGCCCCTGCCCACATGGTGTGGCCTTGGTCAATTATAGCAGCCCTGTCCTATTATTGTAGCCTCAGGAATGTCCCAGGAGACCAGCCTAGAACTTGTGTAGGATCTTTTTTCTTCTTTCCTTGCTGTGCTGGGCTTTGTACCTAGAGCGGTGCATCCCACGCAAGCTGTCTTCCACTAGACCCATCCCAGCTCTCTCTGAATTCAGTCTCCTTGTTTCTCCATCTACCAGTGCTTTTAAAGTCCGGGCAAAGCTCCACAGCCTGGCACTCAGGATAAAGAATGGTATTGCTGTCATAGTAAATCAGAGACCAGCAACCCTAGGCTCTAGCCTTCAGCTGTATCTCTATCTTGGGGTGTTGTACCCACCTATTTCTCAGCGAGATGAGATTTATCTGTTGAAGGGTTCAAACTGTGACCAAGAGCGAATAGCCCTGGAGTTCCATGGGGGAAGGGACTGCGAATCTTGGGGATCCTCTCTGATCTCACTTGTACCACTTTATAGGCCCATCCTGGAGGCAGGTGCAGGTGATCAGGAGATGCCCATCTTGGTCTGTCCCACCTGCCCTTGCCCCCGTCATTTAACGGTGACTCAAGTCTCCAACCCTCTCCCTGGCATCAGCCAGCTTGGGTTTCCCTGCATAACTGCATTTTACCGGCAGTAATATACAACCCCGGGATTTGCTGTCACAGGACCCTGGATCCGTCCAGGATAAAGCTGAGTCTGGGAGGTCCATGTCCTTAGATTCTCTGCCTCACAGGGAGCTGGAACTAAAGCTTTACAAGTTGCTATGGTTTCATCTTATGTCACCTGGGGTGAACTGGCCCATGTCCCTCTAGGCTTGGGTCTTCAGTCTCAGAAGGACACGGCACTGTGCACTGTAAAACTCCTTGCACTTCAGTAAAATCAGATCGTCTGAGCCTTGAGTCTGTGGCTATTCGGTCAATGAATGAATGAGGACGCCTACACCTTTTTAAGAAGGGGTCTTACTGTGTACTCCCGGCTGTCCTGAGACTTGCTAAGTAGGGCATGCTGGCCTCAAACTCAGAGAACCTCTGCCTCTGTCTCCCAAGTGGTGGGATTACGGGTGAATGCTACCACACACAGCTAGAAAGGGGACTTTTTAATAATTATGAGGTTTTCCCATTAAGACGATCTCCAGTGTAATCCCCTAAACGACATCCTAAGAACAAGCTATATAGGGAGCCTCTCCCTAATGGTTCCCATGAACTGGGAGGTCCAGAGAGACGGTTGAGGTATTTATCAGATGCAGATATGAGCAGGGTCTCCTCTACTTCCTGGTCCTAGTCATTCACCCTTGACCATTTTGATCTCCTGACATGAGGGCTCCTCAAATGCTGTGCTTCCCAAAATCAGTTGCACAGCCAAAAAAAACCTAGGGAGGAGCTCCTCCCTCTTCCCCCTGCTGCACTCTGGGGTTCAGGAGCCCAACACTGGGTTTGTCTTCACCAACCTCCCATAGCTGGTACCCAGAATACAGCTGTTCTCCCGTTTCTGTCCCTCGCACCTGAGCGTTTCTGGTATTCCTCTTCCACACATTCTGCACCACAGTCAGCCTGTTTACTCAGGCTTGGGCCTTTTCATGGCTATTGTCGTTTGCTACTAGAGGCAAAATGCTCTCCCCACTCCATCACAAGGCATCAGGTTTTTGCATATGCTCTGCCAGAGTTTGAGACCTGTGTCCTGCAGAACCCACAAGGTGGTGCTAGGCAGCCCGCCAGGCATCCCACATTTGCCACAGTGAGAAATAGGGTGAGAGGTATTTCTTGGTTCCTGTGGTCACTGACAGAGTAGAATGTGCAAAACTGTACCTGGAATACTCAGTTTTCTGGATGAGATATAAAATTGGGGAACCTTGCCTTTCTTCTGCCTCCAGCTACAAACCAAAAGCATCCTTTGGCCCATGTTGCCCCTAGGGACACTGTCATCTGGCCGATTGGATAGGTCTTAGCTCAGCTTCCCATCTACTTGAGGCCTCTCAAAGCTTTGAAGCCACCTGGAGTCAAACATAAATGCCAGGAAACTGGTGGGAAATGCTCCTGGGGGCTCTGAGAGCGGGGCTGGGGGCTGCGAGTTCCTCCACCACGAAGGGCCCTTTGATTACAGATGGCTTCCATGGAACATTTTATATTTCCTTTCTTGTAGCCTTTGCTTCTGTGGATTATTTACAAGAACCATGTGAGCTTTTGTTCTGCAGAGTTTTCTTGGCTTAAACATTGCCTGGATGTGTTTGAAGTCCTTCCCATTTTTCCATAACTGGTCTTGAGATCAGCTGTGGGCCAAGGGAGTTTCTTGGCAGCCAACCTTGCTCCTCAGTCCAGGACTGGAGGAGACAGCGGCCCCTCTGCAGCTCCAGTGAATGCCATCCTGAGTTGATTCCATGGGTACCATGGGGGAGCTTTAATGCTAGGTAGGGTTCTTGGTCTCAAGCCTTATATTTGGGAGTTGGCTGTGTTAGGGCTGAGCTACAGGGAGGTCCCAAGTTCTCACTTTGGACAGTGGGCTTTGCTCACAGACAATGAGGCTCAGTTCTGGAAAAGACTCCAGCACATGGTCCTTGTGTGTTCTGTTGTATGAAGCTGGGATGGTGTATGGGGGCCTACAGATTGAGAGGCCTCTCCAGGTCTGATGCTGGCGTCTATTCAGGTCTCAGCCTCAAGAGCTCCAATCTGTTGTCTTCCTTGACTCTGAGCCTCATGGTCATGTTGCCCTGTTCTTTTGCAGGAGCTGCCCAATGGGGATCCCAAGGAGGGGCCTTTCTGGGAGGACACAGGCTCTCTAGAAGGTGAGTCCAGCTACAGCAAATGCTCCAGACTTCACCCTGACCTTAGGGCTCACACCACAGAACCCTCAATACTGGCATACAAGAGCTAGGATCAGTTGGTTCTTACTCTACCAGGCAGGTAGCTCAGATCAATCAGTGGAAGCAGCAAAATGTCGAACCACAGTATCCCCACACACTTGTTCACTTAGTGTTTGTAGTTCTAGGACTGAACAGGGAGGCTGGGCTTCATGGGATGGCACTCTTGAATTCTGAGCTAACGTGATTAGTTAATACAGTGTGGAGTGGCAGAGAAGTCCTAAGCATGCCACTTGTGACTTGTCTTCTTCTGCTGAGCCTCATGGTCATATGAACCCCGTCTGAGTCACTATCATGTGTGCATCTTTGGTAGAGTCACCCCACACAGAAATGTGGTAAGTTCGTCCAGTCTGCTAGTAGGTGCAAAGGACCAGCCCACAGACCACCTTCAGACAGCAGCTGAAGCCCAGAGGGGCTCCAAGATCTGCCTGCTAAAAGTCAAGCCCTATATCCTCTTAGCTCAAACCTGGACAGACACCTGACTGATGGCCCTGGGCCTCTCTCCTGAATAAACAGCTTGAGACCCAGGGATGATGGGAACCCAGCATTCAGGGAGTCAGGGGAGACAAGACCGCTTGGCCATCAGATAGCCCACGTGTCCTTATAAGTGGGTTCCGAATTGAAGGTGTTGGAAAATGACCATGAGAATGGGGAGAAAAGTCTGGTGAGGACTCTGGATTGGAGATCACTCTTATGATCTTGAAGGTCCTTCTCCTACCTCATCTGTACAGTGTTAGCCTAGAGGAGACAGATTGCTCACTATGGGATACATGTGCAGCAAGGGCTTACCAAGTTGAGGCCAACCCAGGTGAGGCCTCTCTCTACTTTCTACTTTCCTATTCTACAGGAGCATCCTTAGCTCAGGGCCTGGTAGAACAGGAGAGCAGACATAGTCAACCCATTTCCCCTGTCCTCATGCTACTCACATGGGACAAGCCCCTGCCTTACCTCCTCTTGTTCCCTCAGTTGTGCTGCCCCCTGAGAAGTCTGAGGGCCATGAGGGCCAGGGGCAGCTCTTCAGCGTGGACGATGGGGAGAAGGCAGCCACCCATGAGGGCCCATTAAGAGTCAACAAGAAGCACTTGAACATTGATGTAAGTCCTCTCCCCTGAACATCTAGGGTCCAGGATGAATAGTGGTGGCCTAAATGGGGACCATGGACATTCCAGCCCTGTGGTCTCCGTAGCCTCCCTGAGACCTTAAAGCAGGACTAAAATGTGCCGCTCTGGTGGGCTGCATGGTATTGCTGTGGACCTGGCCATGCTGGGCAGATGGGTCTCCATATGTAATGTCATCCAGCACTACTGGACAGGGAATAACAGCGGGATCTCCTACCCCACAGGCAAGGAAGCAAGAACACTTGGTTCTAATTCCTCTTACTCAAAGTGATCCTGAGTATTTGCATGCACAGGGACAGATATCACAGGGGAGAAACGGAGTCATGAGGCATAGAGTTAGTACATCACTGGGGTGGAGGTGGAGCTGGTCAAGGACAGGGATTGAGGGTTGCAAACCAATTGCCCTTCAGCTTCTTTGTCCTGGCTGGAAACTAGAAAGACTCACAGCTGGCTTCCTTGTCTCCTATCCCTGCATACCACCTACAGGCCCTCCAGTGTGATGTCTCTGTGGAAGAAGACAACCGCCAGGAGTGGACATTCACACTGTACGACTTTGACAACAGTGGGAAAGTCACCAGAGAGGTAATCAAACCACCCATAGGATGGGGGGCTCAGGTCAGGGGTGTGGCCTCTTGAGATGTGGAACCGGTCTGGTTCAGTAGACAGATGTCTGAGTTGTCAGACGGACAGACAGAATGAGTCTTGGAAGGAGGAAAAAAAAGACTAGGACTTTCCTGAGATAGAAGGGGAGGCAGATAGGGGACCAACTTTCATATCCTCTGATAGCTGGTATCTCTTTTCTTTGGAAGTCTACACATCTCATCAAGTCCAGTATGGCCTTTCTCTGTAGCTGTGATGTCCCTAGGCCAAGCCTGGGTGAACAACCCTTCACAGGGCAGCCTGAGTTCTTGGAGTGTCCCTGCTCCATTGAGTTGTGTCCAGGAGGGCAGAGGAAGCATCTGCATGTGACATTGATGCTGGAAAGCTTACCTGCTTGTGTATCTAATTTTGGAATGTAAAAGATATGGCTTCAAAGACAGACAGCAGGGCTACCTTTAAGCAAGGCATGACATCCTGGGGCAATTCTGGGCATAAGGTAAGGCAGTCTCTGATGGGGAGTAAGTGGACCCAAGGTGCCTGCTGTAGCTAGTTGGTGAATACATGCTTGGTAAAGGTCTCTTGAAATCTGTCATGTTGGTCCCAGGACATGTCCAGCCTGATGCACACCATCTATGAGGTTGTTGATGCCTCTGTCAATCATTCCTCGGGCAGCAGCAAGACCCTGCGAGTGAAGCTTACTGTCAGTCCTGAGCCCTCCAGCAAGAGGAAGGAATGTCCTACTGGCCAAGGTGAGGGGTCTATGCCAGGAGTCTTCCTGTTCAGATGTCACCGTCTCTATGCGCACTGCCCCTCAGACAGGCCTGTACAGGGTGGGGCACTCCTACAACCACCTGATATATGCTTCACACTTGCTCTTCCCCATAGCACTTACCTCTCCACCACTGACCCCTGCATTGTTCAAGTCCCCTATCTGCTTTAACTCAAAAATTTTGTTTCCACAATGTCCCAAGCAGGACCTGGTACCTGGCAGTGGACAAAACTGTGTGCTCAATGAGTGGATGGATGAGCAAGAAAAGTAATTCATTAACAAAGGGCAGAGTAGTGTAGACCTCCATCCCAAGCACTCAGGGTGCAACAGGGTTAAACGTTCAAGGCCAGCATTGGTGATGGCGTGACTGCGTGTCATAAAATATGACAGTAAAACAGAATGAGTGGATGGATGGATTCATACGACATGGAGAATGAGTGGGTGAAGGACAGGCAGAAGAATGTCTGAGTCAAAGCAAGGATCAGCAGATACGTAGGGCATGAGCAAATGGATGCACCGTGAGGCAGGAATGTAACACCTTTCTTTCAGACCGGGAGTCCACTCGTGGCAGAACAGAGAGTGAGCTCACAGAGGACCCCCGAGCAGCGGATAGAAGGCTGTCTACCCACAGCAGGTGAAGTGTGGGGTCAGGTGGTTGCATCCTGCAGGTCTCCCCGAGTTCCTGCCAGGAAGCGTGGGGAAATAGGTAGGCCCTGTGTGCTGTGAAGGGTGATGTACCTGGGTGAGGTTGAGCATCATGCTATGCAAAAGGAAGCAAGCAGGGGCCATTGTGGCCCCAATGAGGTGACCTGGGGTGGGATCCTGGGGATCCTGGGTCCTGGTAGGCTGCCGTAATGAGCTGTGAACCTTAATTCTCTGGACAGCATATATAACCCAACGGCTTCCCTTCTGCCTTCTTTAGACAGTGGGTGCTAGTCCAAGTCCCCACTTCACCTCCTAGACAACCATCCACCTCCGCAGGCACTCCTGTCAGTCTGTAGCTCAGGCCTGTCCTCTCTGCTCCACACAGGAAGCCCAATGCTGATTCCCAGCCCTGCTCTGTACGAGTACCCTACTGTGTGGATGAGAACACAGAGCGCAGGAACCACTACCTGGACCTTGCAGGCATCGAGAACTACACATCTAAGTTTGGTCCTGGTAGGTACTAGAGGACCCCACCTCGGATCTGCCCTCTTGGTGTAGATTCCTCCCTAGAGATGCAGGCAGGCAGGGGTAGGCTCTGGAATTCCAATGGTGCCAGGTCTCAGGTGTCCACACCTTGCCTGGGCATCCCATCATCCTTTGCGTAGATGTGAACTCACACCCTCCAGCACTGGCAGGGACCTGGAAAGCAAGGTGGTTAAACATCCAGGTGTGTATATGAGGCATGCCTTGGCTTAGGGAAAATGGAGTTTTCCAGGGTTGAAAAGCTCCGGAGCCTTCCAGGATTGCCAGCTTGTGTAGAAGCAGACAGCCAGTACTGCAGACACTTGTACTGCTCTACTCAATGTTCCTTTCTGATGCTGTGCCTCCTGTAGCCTTTAGATTCATGAGCTGCAGCCTGGCAAGTCTCCCACTAGCACCCATTCCCACTAAGCATTTCTGGGGTCCACTTGTGACAGATTCTCTGATAAGTCCCTCCAATCTGTTCCAGATAACCTGGGCTAGAGGTCCCTGGTTGAAGCTGATCCTCACCTGGGAGGGGCTGGCTCTAAGTGCTTAGTTCTAGAGCTTCAGTCCTCTGATAAGGGCATCTGAAGAAGTAGACGGGGATCCAAAGAGTTTACTGGGGAGTTTGACCACAAGTAGCCCCCCTGTACTGAGGGCACTGCGCAGGGCCAACCTTAAGGGTCAAGTATTTCATGAAGCTGAAACCAGGTTATTCTGGAAGTCTGTTTTCTCTCTCCTCTCTTCCTCCTCCTTCCCTCTGGGTGTGTTATGGAGAGAGGGAAGGGGGACATATTAATGAATTAATTCTGGTCCTTCACTGGAGTGTCCCTTAATAGGACACAACTTTCTGATGTCCCCTCATGTCCTAGACAGAGCCCTGACTATGCCAGTAGAGAATCTCTACTAATAGGACCCACAACAGGGATAAAGGGCCAGCTGAACAGGGAAGCAAGTTGCCAGGGTCCTTAATGTGGGGCTGACTCCCATCTGGAATGTAAGATAGATCTGGTACTGAGCTTGGGGCATCTGGTCACCCAGTCAGCAGGTCACTTCTGTTGCAAACCCACAGTGCAGGTATGACATGTGTCCCAAGCCTTACTCTGGGCCACCACTGTGTCTTCTCCCCAGGGTCACCACCTGAGCAGGCCAGGCAAGATCATCACGGCAGGGCCACACACATTCCAAGCAGGTCCCGATCACAGGAGTCGGATGCCCACGCTGTACACCACCGCAGATCCCAGGTCCTGGCTGACCATGTCGTACCAACTAATGAGTCTGCTGTCCGGGCCCTGTCTGCACAACCCCGGCTCAAGGGGCAGGAGAAGCAGTTCCTCAGGTCACCCAAGGGTCCAGGAAAACCTCTTGGGGCAACAGGCAGCAGCAAGCCAGGGAAAACGCTCAGCTATTGCCTACAGGCTGTCCCACTGCCCCAGGGTGCTCAGGATGGCCACCACCTTCCACAGCCTCCACCACAGCCCCCACCACAGCCCTATGGTCACAAGCGGTACCGGCAGAAGGGCAGAGAAGGCCACTCGCCACTCAAGGGACATGGCCAGCCGACCATGGTGGAGCATGAAGCGGTTCGGGACCTGCCTCCTATGCTGGGGCCTGAGGGCTACATGGTGCCTGTGATCCAGAGGCATGAACACCACCATCACCATGAACACCACCACCACCATCACCACCACCACTTCCACCCATCCTAGCACCCAAACCAGTACTCTGCCCACATGCCCTCAGGGACATAGAGCAGGTGCTGGCATGTGCCCAGAAGAGAGGACAGCATTCCCTGGCCCAACACCCAGCTGCAGATGTCGAGATGGCACCAGGCTGGATATTCATGGACAGAGCCTTTTCTCCATGCCATTTGGATACGAGCACATTTGATGCAGCTGATGACTCCCAGTAACAGTGCTCCTGTGTGATTCAGACAGCCCCCACGTGAGGACAGAAAAGCATCAGCTCCTACTTTTGCTGCTCACCGTGGTCCTGGGATGTTCGAGAGACTGCACCTAGACACTCTTCGTATCCTTTGACCTTTGGGTGCCCTGCATTGTTCCTGGAACAAGGCCAGGAGCCAATGGCGATGGAAGCGCTCTGTGGGGTTTATTCATTATAAAGTCCGCAGGCTGGGCTTGCCAAGTGGTTCTTCAGTGCACCACATCCTTAGTTTCACACATGATGTCAAGCAAAGAAAGCAAAGAGGTCAGGGTATCAGCAGATGTGGAGGGGGCATGAGTGAGTAGAGGGGCAGGGTGGTGTTCAGCGGGCAGCACGAGGCTTGGTCTCCAGAGCTTCCAGCATCCCAGGTGGATGCAGAGAAGACACAGACAGGTTGAGAAGGATCAGCTACCACACTGGAGGCCCCCACCTAGGCTGTGCTCATTCTTGTGCCATAGCCAATTGACACCTAGGTGTCCCTTCTACGAGGGCTGCAAGGGTGTGGGAACCTTAACAAGCCATGGTCTTTTGACTCCACCAGAACAGGATCCTGTAAAGGCAATTTTTACCTCTTGTGAGTTTGTACAGGTGGCATTATGCCTTCTTAGCATATATGAAATAGTGCATTCTGTAACATGCCATACCTTGTATTAAAATGGACTTTTCTGAGCGCTGTGGTCAGTCTATACCTTGTAGCTACTGGTGAAGATCACAGGTACGTGTTATGAAGGCTGAGTGCTGTAGAACCATCTTGGCTAATGTTGGTTGATGTTCACAACTCCATAGTAATTCTTCTAAGATATATATTTGGACTGGTCTAAGGAAAATCAGAACCCTAAACCTAGAATTCAGCTCATGCTAACATGAACACTAGCACCATATCCACCATGGCCTATGCAGACTGCTGAGAAGCAACACTTTATCCTCTCTCCTTAAACACTAAATTCTATGGAACTCCTGGAGATCTGAGTGTGATGTCTCCCGTGAGCTGTCTCACATACATAGGAGGCCTGGGGATTATCAGCCCTCAGAAGGCAGCTGCTGGTCACTTCACAGGTAGAAATCACACACATGCTCCTGAATACCAAAAGACTAGCGTGTGCCACCCTTACGTCATGGATGTGGAGATGGTACACATGTACGGCTCCATCATTCACACGCAGCAGAGGGACTGAGCAGGAATCATCATGGCCACCCAGCTGGCTACTCAGAATGCAGCATTCAGGCTGAGAGACATCACACAAGATATCCCTAATGACACCTTGGGCCATGGTTCAGCTGAACACCTAGAAGTGGGGAGATCCTGCCAAGCAAGTCAGAACATTGTGTTTTAGAAATTCAGGGCAGGTAGAAGTTCCAATAAACTCATGGTAGGGGCCGAGCACCCACTACTATGAGAATGTTAAGCAGAGGAGTCAATACCACTCCATCCAGCTGAGGGACCAAGCCTTAGATAGCAGGGTTCTCCGTGGCAGTGCTACATGTACAAGGCTGGGCTACATATATGAGGCTATGCTACATGTATGAAGCTTATAGAGATGGGAAAGCATTTGTAAACAAAATGGAAAAAAAAAGCCAAAACAAAAGTCAGCTGGTTTAGATAGGTGTGGGAGGCCTACAATTCAAGACCACCCTGGACTATACATAGTGAGACTGCCTCCCTCATCCACCCCCGATTGCCTGTTCTCCAACAGTTAGCCACTGTGGATGTGGTCACTAGTGTCTGCAAATGTAGTTGAGGATGGTGGGTCTGCTGAGGTGCAGTAACTTGGCCAGGGTTGACGCAGGGACTCCATGACCATCCAGAAGTAAAACTGCAATGTGGTATTTAGTCTACTTTGCGCCGGGTACCAGGACGGTGTCTCCGTGGGGGTTGGTGGTACCTGGCGACAGGAAAGGGCGGCTATTGTCAGGGAAACAAAAAGGCCTTGGTTGTGTTAAGTGAAGGCTGAAGTTGCTGTGTGTTCTTAGAACTGAACATCCTGATATCTTGTACATTCCCAAATAAAAACCACCAAGGGAACAACAAAGGTGTTGCCAAGAAGCCCCTTTCTCAGCAGGCACCCCATCTCTTTCAGGATAAACCTTTTGACTCTGGGTTCTAGTCATGTGCTCTTTCTCAATGTGATCTGGGGTTCTGCTGCCCTGAGCTGGCCATGTACTCTGTTCACACATCAAGGTCTCTTAACTTCCTTTTCCTAGCAAATTCGGACATATGTAGGGTCCTTGATCCTTTAAACCTCTAGGACTGCTCTGTCTCTCCAGGGCTCAGACCAGGGCTCACAGACACTCTGCTCCTGCCTGCTACCAAAACAAGTTCTGAAGGCAGGCAGTCCCAGTCATCCCCAGCTGGCTTTGGCACTGCCTAGAGGCCACAGCTCTGGCATCCGCCTTCGCCGTGTGAACCAGCACAGCCCGGTCTACGACAGTGGAGTGTCAGCTGGTCTCTGAGAGGGTCTCCTAGGTCTGTGCATGTTGTCTTGTGTGTCAGAACCTCCTGTTCTACTGCACGGATGCTCAGGTATGAATAATGCCATGGTGAATGCCAGGGAGCAGGATACGTCCTGGGTCACAAAAATAACCCTACTTAATTTGGGGGGTCCTAATGCCATTCCCATGGCTGCACAGTTCTGTATCCCAGTGACAACACCCTCCTACTCGTTACCCCATTTTCTGGATTATAGCTCTACTTGTACTGTGATGATTCTGTGTTGAGTCCCTACAATAGGCAGTATTGAGCTTGCAGTTATTAACCCTAATGAGCAGGCAGGAGAGTTCCCTTTAGTATTTTTGCAGTGCCTCTCTGATGCAAGAGGCTCAACCCTAACCCAAGTCGGCCCTGCAGTGGACCTCTGGAAAGAAACGAGTCAGTGCATCGAGTCTCCCATCACTAAATTTTACGGTAAGCGAGACACAAGAGGTTCTTCAAACACATTTCATAGAACTTTACTCTTCTACTAAAACAAAGTCATACAAAGACAAAAGCCTATAAAAAGGAAAATGTGAAACTGATTCGAATGGCCACAGTTACCAGGAGCACAGAGTTTGCAAGAGAAAGGACGCAGGACACTCTGACGGGGGCTCTTTTGAGCAGTGACCCAGAACCTGGAAAGGCCTGCCACCTAGGGCATTCCTAGTGCTGGCAGAGGCGCCTCACCTGCTCTGCTCTGGCTATTTAGAGTCTGAACCAAAGTCAAAGCTGAGTCAAATCAAGAGTGGACACCACTATACTGATGGGGACACGAGCTTGGCAGTGGTTACTCTGGCCAGCTGACCTCTGGTGCCTAACGAAGTCTGAGGAACCTGTACAGGTGCACTCTTGGCCTCTACCCTCACGGGGACTTCCTGAATACGGACAGGATTGATTCTCTTGGGGGGAAGCCAGAGATGACCCAGGGCCTGGTAGCATGGAGCATCCACACAGAAGATATCTCTATCAAGCTTCCCCAGAGAGGGTTAAATAAATAAATATGCCATACAGAACACGAGGGACTGATCACTGCTGTTGCCCGCAGCCTTTGAACAGACCGTGACCTACAGAGCAGAGTGCACAAGGGGACAGTGCAAATGATGTCGGGTTCTTGAAAGTACAGAGGTGCCTGTGGCCTCAGCTAAGTGGGGTTATCCATGGCAGGGGACAAGAGACTCGGCCAGAAAGACCCAGGGCCATGGGCTGGGGCGTGCTCTCCCCAGGAGGGTGGGACGGCATGTCGTACGTGCAAAATGGTATGCTGCGCCCCCTCGTGGTTCACACTCTGGGAGGCTCCTGCTGTCATGGACTGTGTGCAGACTCCTCAAGAGTTCCTGCTGTTTGCTCGACACTGTGGGGCTCTGTGGTCACCTGCTTGAGGTTCCCAGCTCAGTGCTTAGGAAATAGAGGGGCTGGGTTCCCGTGAGAAGAGGAAGCAGACTGGCTGCAGACAACCCTGGCTCTGCAGGAGCTCTTAGGGCATTAACCCAGATGGGAACACAGCTGGCAGGCACCACCCACCCAAAGGGTGACCCACTCCCACCCCGTAAACACTGTCTCACTTTCCAGGGGTACCCTGAGCCGTGCCTGAGGAGTGTGGGCAGGGAATGAGGAGGAAGAGTGGACAGTCCTCAGCTTGCTTACGGTACAGAAAGCACAGCAAGGACACTCTAAGAAACAGAGGTGGCAGAAGCCAATGGGGAACAGCTCACTGACATTCCAGCCCCAGGGAACTGTGCGTACGTTCACATGTTCTGGACAGGGTAGAAATGAAATGTAACTGCCACAAAATACTGGACAGTCATCCACAGACAAGTGATACTAGTACCTGGAGGCGAGGCCCTGCCTGTAGTGGGAAGAGCTGACCCCAGAGTCCTGGGTATACCTACCACTGCCCACAAGAACACAAGGAGCCACTCCTGTCAGAACAGCTCTAGGCACTGCCCCTGGGGCATCTCCTGCTTGGAGGAAGCCTAGGGGTGTTATGTCTGTGGGAAGCCATGTGTGGCAGAGTGACCAGAATCACCGCGACATCTTGGTAGGGCAGTGGCCACCGGTCAGAGGCGTGCTGGTGGGCCCGAGCCTGGCCATAGGCTGCTAGCATAGTCCTGACCCCATCCAGGTGTGTCCAGGCTACAGGTGTTAGGAGTAGATGGTGATGACTTCCCGGCCGCCACCCCTGACCAGGAGGACCCTGTTCAGCCCTTCAGTCAAGACCTCAAGAAACTCCATGTCTGTAGTGATAGTTAAGGGCGTACCAATCTCAACTGGACACATAAGGGACTCCAGTGCACACTACAGACAGCCCAAGAAACCAAGGTCAGTGGCAGATGGGCAGACCCCAAGATGGGCTAGGGAGCTCTAAGAGATGAGGGGGTGACGACAGGAAAGACCAGGAGGGAAACTACCACCTCCAGAGAACAGAGATAGTCCTGGAGCTTCCAGTTACTAACCCCATCCCCCTGAAACCAACAACTGGGTCACTCCCGGGAAGCCTGGTGGTTGGGTGGTCTCTGACCAAGAAGCCTGAGGAAACATCTCCCTAATCTGCCACGGTGGTCCCAAGTGGCTGCCCGACAAGACCCCAGAGAAACCTTGGCACCCACAAAGCACAAACTGTCAAGGCTGTGGCCAACACTTGTCCCCTTGATATGCCTACTGGGGGAAACAGCCCAGGGAGCCTGCTGAGAGGACACCCATCCAGGCAGAGAGTCTCAGCACTGTCTCTGAGGACAGCTCTGCTTGTGGGAGGGAGGCCACTGAGACCAAGAGTGGGTAGGCTCAGTTTTTCCTGTGTGGGTTTACTGTTCTATTCAGGAAGGCTTAGGGCAAGACTGCACTTGCTAGGCATCTGGGGAACCCAGTTTGTGTCCTATGAACCAGGCCTATCACCCAGGGACACACCAGATGGATTTGCCACTGCCTCTCACCCTGGGATGGGGCTGTGGCCCCGGTGGAGTGCTTACTAGCATGCCAGTGCTCAGTCCCGGCACAAGAAAGGGCCTGTCACTCTCCTCAGGAGCTTAAATGCAACATTGTTTCTCCAAATGCTAGAAGGACCCAGCCAGCCCTTCAGTCTGTTCAGACTCTGCAGCACTTGCCTTCCTCTGTCTTATCCAAGGTCCCCAGGGCAATGCACAGTACACAACAGGCAGAAAAGCATGCTCTGGTACTGAGAGGCTCAGGGGGACCTCTGTGTCCCCCAGTTCGCAGGAGCAGAGGCTCTGAGAAC